AGACACAGGGGAAGCTTCTAGCAGCTTCTCACAGAAGCCACCCCTGTAGCCCCCCCACTACCAAAACCTTGCCACGCAAACCCAATATGTCAGGTACCGGAAACAGTTAATCTCCAGCACAACATCAAGAGATTTGTTCTGACCAAGATTTGTTAAAAGCACCTTCAAGGCACTTTTACAACAAAGCATAAGCCAGAAAAAGGTGATCTGGGTCATTAAAGGAACTGAATGGTCTAGGTTTATTTATTTATTTATTGCTTTGTGGGGAGATCTAGCCAAGGCAAACTCACAGGATATTTGAAAAGAGTCCCTGTGCATTGTGCATGGAAAAAAGTCCACAGCCAAATGTCAAAGCAAGAGTTATTTCAAAAGCCTCATGACTTCAACTGAGGGGCCATGATACCTAGCTGCTGTAGAAGACCACCACAGCTTCATTACCCTCCACTGCAGATGGAAGTTTCTCTTACCCATTATTTCACTTAGTCCTTTACACGCACTCTTATTCACAGTTCTTCCTATAACACACAATGAAACATCCCCATCAAATTTACCAGAAACAATGCTTTCAAGTATCTTAACACATGGGCTAGTTTTCTTACAGCATGTAACCAGGCATTTCACGTAAGAGAATTCTCAGTTCTTCCTACCGGGAAAGATAAAAGTAATTCAGTATGAAGATACAACAACATGCGAGTCATCTCCGTACCTCCAGCCCAGATCCAACGTTTGATAAATCCAATGGTCTTTTCTTCCTCGGTCCAATGGCTGCCAGAGCTGTGAGGTTGGCTTCTCTTTGTTGCATTTGTGCTAACTCCAATTGTTGCATCTAATTTAAAAAGAAAACACCTACATTAATTATGATATACACTATCCCAAAGGTCTTGGTTCTCTTTATGGCAGCTTCAGACAGCTCTGCAGTCCCTACTGAAACCATGTATTTCACAGCATCTTTTCCTGTCTTTCTGGACACTTTTGATAGATACCAACACTCAGTCATGCTTACAGCCTTGAAATGCTAACAGCCCTATAGATAGCACTGTGTAAGTAACACGCTATGGAGACTGCATAGTGGTATCAACACAGGAGCATTGCTGCTGGTTCCTCAGCTCATAACCTTTACCATTTCTGATTAACAGAAAATATTGATCAGAACTGGTTTATGAGGCAGGATTAGTATTAAACATTGAAGTTATCGAGTTCTGTGAACTGGGTGCATTCTTAATTCAAAATCTCAGTTCATGACTGTACAAGATGACATTCAATTTCTTCACGCTGTATTACCTGAACCCAGCACTCAATATTGCCATTCTGAAATATCTTATTATCCAACTGAACAGGATGCTGTCAAGTTCACTGATACTCTTTCTTTTCCCAGTACATACTTGAATCTTCAGGTATATGTGAAGCAAGTTAGAGATACGCTGCATATATTTATTTTCACTCACCTCCAAAAAACTGTTGAACACAAATAAACCCTTAGAAACAACCTGTACCTGGGTTACGTAAACCCAGGAAGGGAGAGAAACCCATAGTCAAGAGGATTGGGGGGGGGGGAAGTTTTACCTCCACATTTCAAGGTACATACTACTACATTCTATTCAATAACTATAGATGCCAGCTGCTCTGGAGCTCAACCCAGTCAAGTCAGCCCGATAGACTTACTAGCTTGGATTGGCCACCTTGCTAATGCAACCACGTTGCTTTCAGACCCATCAGCCATCCAACTTGCAGCATGAGTGGGGGGGAGTGCTCGCTCTCTCTCTGTATTTACTCAGGTTGAGTTTGTCCTTAAACACAAAACTTCTAGGTTTGATGTTAATCCTTAAATGATCTGACATGCAACTAGAGCAGCTCCTTAGCCCATGCTCTCCCCGCTCTCAGGACTTACAAAATCTGTTTGGATGGGAATTCTCTACATTCATGCATGTCCATGTCTTTAAAGAAAATACAACTGTATCATGGTAGCAAAGCATCCAACTATCCTCCCTTCCCTCAATCCCACAAATCACTAAAAAAAGAAAATAAATTAATTGGAATTCCTCATTCAGTCAGTACAGATATTTTGCTAACTACGCTTGCAATACACAATGTTTTTGCTTGCTTTTCAGCTCTCAGAGATCCCACTTGGAGAAGAGAAATTCAGCTTGTTAAGAACTGAGCTTGTAGCAGTTGCTACTACTTAAGTAAGATTCCATAATAAGATAAAAAAAGCACATGGGTTTTTTTGGGAGTGTTTTTTTGTTGTTGTTGAGAGTTTAGGGGGTTTTGTTTGGGTTAGTTTTTGGGGTGTGGGTTGGGGTTTTTTGTTCGTTGGTGGGTGGTGTTGGGGGGGGGGGGCAAGTCCATTATTTTACTTCAGATCGGCAGATTTGTTCTTATTTTAGTGATGCTGGTAGCTTCACATCAAGTATTTCAGCCAGCTAGGCTATTTAAAGAAAAATGGTGTTTCAGTGCAAGATTCCTAAAAGGACATCCTGCCCTGTAAGACTCAAACTATACACATGCTCAAGATTTTTAAACAGACATCAGGGAATGCAAGACTTTGACATACCTATGTTGAGAGTAGTTGGTTTTTTGGTTTGTTTTTTTCTGAAGATGAGACAAATGATTCGGTCACAAGAACAACATCATTTGCAAGAAAGCTTTGATCACACTACATAGGCTTTTCCTTACAGAAATGTAAGGAAAATGTACTTCTTGAACACTAGATACCATCATTCACTTACCACATATGCTATTCTTGCTTTTGTGTGCAGTGTAAACATTTATGACTATATTTATCAGAATTATGCCAGTTCTGAATGCGGTTTTTTTGTTTGTTTGTCCTTTTCAAAGTATAAAGTATTGCTTTCAAGAATATTTTAGAGACTATAAGGTTTTTATGTCCCTTAAACTTGAAAACTACAGTTCTGCAATTGTCTGACACTATGTCCAGCTGGCCTACTTGCATAAGATGTTTAAGATAAACTTCCCTTTAATCTCAATCTTAAATATGTATATTTATATTCAAGAACACATAGCAACCAATCAGGAATGGGGGGGAAATAAGACTAAATCTGAAAAAGTAACTTGAAACTTCACGAATTCTGTGAAACACTGAGGCTTAGAACCTATTCACTTTCCTACTAGCAATGTAGTTCAGTCGTCATGGTGGCCAAGACAACAGTGGAAATGCACGTCATTACCATCACCTACTCTCCTCATTGCATTTTCCACCTCATAACCAATCAAAGGATTTTTCAAATCAGGCAGAACCTCACCAGAGTTTCGGAGCAAAAGGAAAAAAAAAAAAGAAATCATAGTCTTGTTGCATTCTAGACATCTTGGGGATTTTTCTGAGAACATAATTAAGACAAATGAATTTAAACATTCAATCTCCATAATGGACTCAACAGATCTCCATTAAGCGATATGGGCAGACATCCAAATTACCCTGCTGAAGCCAGCAAAATCATCTTTTCATCAAGTTTTGTTCTATTAAAAAGTGTGAGATTAAATGTCCAAACATTGTGTGAGCAGTTAAAAGCACAGGATAAGGAGAAGACAAGGCAGATAACATCAAGGGATACCCGAGGATACTGGCTGGCTAACTACTGCTGGATTTTCTTAAACAAGATTAGGAAAGAGCAAGAGACAACTATGTTGAGTCAAATCTTCCTTTAACAAGCAGTATTGTAGCACACAAGTTAGGGCAGAAAGATCACTGCAGCAAGTGAAAGACAGTAAAAGCCGTATATACACTTTATTAAAATATAACAGCTGGATCCAGTATTGTTTCCCTTCTAGGGGCCAGTTTACTAACACTGGTGTCTCCAACTAGAACAGGATACAAATAGGAACTGTCATACCCAGGTTTGTATCTTGAAAAAAGATGATTTGTCTCCCTTGAAGACAGAAGCGTGTAATGGCAATTCAAGAGGAGCAGGGGAAACCTGCACCACACATCAGACCCACAAACTAGCAGGTTTCCCCTCAACCTGACCTACTTCATCTGCTGAAAGATGCTGTTCCACCACGACACAGGAGTCCAACACATGTTCTGCTCAAAATTCATTCCTCAAGAAGGGCATTGAGAGGGGACAGTCTCCAGGCAAGAGGCAAATGCACGTTCACGCTCCTTCTCCCCCCTTTCTGATTTTTACATACACTAAGAATTGCAGTACAAAGAGTTCTAAAAACCTGTGTATAAAGATTGAATTGCTATGAAAACGTCTCAGAACTTGTAAAATAGTCTTTGTTGCTGCTGGCCTTTTTAATAATAAAAATAGGGTTTAAAGTCTGGTCTTGCAGCAAGCAGGAATCTCTAGGGTGACACAATAACCATTTTAGTTAATCTGACCTGGAGCACAAATCAAGAAGTCAGGTATGTTTTAAAGTCCTCCCTTATAGTGAAATGGCATTTGCAGCATGGCTGTAATCACACAAAATGAAAGGTTTTAAAATTGACCTCTCTGTTCTTCACTCAATCCTCTACTGAGTGAAATATTTCTTTTCCTGTTCACAGAAATTCTATCTCACTTATGTCTCCTACTCTACATTTCAGAAAATATGCAAAGTCTATTTTTACTACTACACCAATGACATTTTTGTGGCATTTTAATATTAAAAATTAAATTTCAAGTTGCATAAGAAAAAGTACTTCAGCTATGAGATGCTGAGACTTTTTTTTTAAAGCAATACTAAAAATTGGCTTTAAACCCTTTCAGTTACGAAGTACATGATATGTGGTTGTTAGCATTATCAGAGCTCCAATAATTCAAGTTATGCAAATCTCGCAAGACTTTCTCTAAACACTGCAAGGAAGAATCCCTTAAATATAACTGAAGAAAGGAAAAAGTATACTCTACCACAAATAAAGTCAACTAATTCGCACCAGCTAACCCATCATGTGTGCAGCAGCAGGTGGCTGTATTATCAAAGCAGGGAAATGGAAGAGCTACCTTGCCGAATACACGTTCACCTTTGAACAGGAGTAACGAAACCCCTCATGTCTCGTGTCTCATCACAAAGTACCCAAAGCAGAACAAGGTATTTGATACAAGCTTTCAGAGAAGACAAAGCACATGAAACCTTTACTCTCTAGATCCTCAAGAATGGTTTTACCGGTGAAGATTTCTTTATAGGTAGAGACGAGAAATTAAGCAACTGTATTAGCCAGGGCTCACAGAGCAGCAACAGGTCTGAGGTTAAAGAAAAGCCAAACAGGTGGCACTTGTCCAGCATGATGCTGGCAGATGACATGCACCTCAAGACATTCATACCAACTGCCCACTGCTGCAGGAGCTTCAATATGTAAAAGTACTAGGAAACAAATGGAGAGAGATTTATTTTCTCCACTTCTCAGATTTAAGTGCTAGGAACTTATGTTTAGCGAAAAAAAAAACCAACGCAAAATAGTCTTGGCAATGCAATAACAAATAAATACAGTCATATGGATGTACATGAGCTCAGAAGAAATGCTAGGAAGACAGATGGGGAAGCTAAACACCACGATTCTGGACTTGCTTATAATTAATATAAGGGAAAGACTAAAAAGCATATTTGGTTTAATATCAAGCAAAAAGTAGGTATGTCTTCACATATGACATCGTAGGCTGACAGAGTATGGGACAGACTGAATAAATATTTAAAGTAACAGAAGAATTGGCAGGAAAGGAAACCAGGGAAGGCTGAAGACAAGTTAATGTATGCCTAAGGGTTATGTGTGCTATCCAGCAATAAGTACATCAGGAGTAATAAAAGCACTAAAGGAGATGAACAAGAATTTGTGTAAGACTTGCGGGGGGAAAAAAGCAAGGAATATAAGCGTACAAAAGAGGCAGAAGC